AGCCCCAAAATCTTTGACACATTTGTTGAAACACTTTGCTGGCTGTTACTAAATATATCCAGATGCCCCACAGTCATACATTATCTAGATGATTTTTTGTTGGTCGAAGAAAACACCTTTCCCTCCAGAAGCCTAAAGGAAGCAATTAGTCTGCTCAACTACTTGGGCCCCTAAGAAATCTGAAGGCCCAGACACTATCATTACATTCCTGGGCATACAACTTGACTCAGCATCCATGCAAGCAAGCTTACCACAAGAGAAAATAGCAAACATTCTCAACAGCATCAATCACTACATCATGCTGGGTACTTGCAACCGCATGGAACTTCAATCTCTTCTAGGTTCCTTAAACGTTGCCCTGCACATCATACCACAAGGCTGGGCTTTTATATCCAGACTTCTTTGTCTTTTTCCACACTTCCGACATGATGACCATAGACTGTCCCTAGATATTCAAGCCACAGCAGACCTGGACATGTGGAAGAAATTCTTAATCACTTGGAATGGTAAAAGCTTGTTCCTCCCAGGATTGTCTGACATGTCACCAACCATATGGTCAGACGTGGAAACTACCACGGGTTTCGTAGTAATCTTTGGGGACGAATGGCTTTGGGGTAGTTGGCCTGAAGAAGTCCAGGATTTGGAAGGTTTTTTACTACCTCAGCTCTTTTTGAGATCTACCCTATTGTAGCCGCTGCTGTGGCATGGGGTAATTCATGGTCAGGGTCATCAGTCCGTTGCTACTCAGACAACCAGGCCACATGTCATATCATCAACAAGGGCTGCTCATCATCTCTAACGATCATGATGATTTTTTCAGGAAACTCACTTGTATGGCCACACGTCAAAATTTCTAATTGGTTTGCTTTCATGTACCAGGCATTTGTAACACAGCCGCTGACAGTTTGTCTCGATTCAATTTTCAGGCATTTCATCAAGCGCTTCCTTCAGCCGCTCAAGTAGCCACAGCCACTCCTTCGTTCTAGCAACTAATTATGGATTAGACATAATTATGCAACACAGCAGGGATCTGTCCAAATTAGCACTATCATCCAATACTCGCAGGACATAGAACAGAGCCTTCACATTGTTTAAAAGATTTATATTGGAACACGACATATCCCAACCTTTTGTCATGACATCTATCCTGGGTTTTGCTTCTTTTTGCCATCTTAAACTACAACTATCTTACAACACCATTAAGTTATATTTGACAGGCATTTAACAACACATAATATCCCTATGGTCTAACAACCATAGCTTTATGTCATCATATCAGATAAAGAACATACTCAGAGGCATTCAGAAATCAGTTCCCCCACGTAAATCTCAGAGATTACCTATAGATAACAAACTTTTCCAATCCCTATCCGACCTATTAGATTTAAAATCATTTAATTCTACCACCAATTCGAGCATTAAAGCAGCCATGTACATAGAATTCTATGGTTTCCTCATGCCAAGAGAGTTCACTACCATCACCACCACTCAGACAGATAGATGTTTTCAACGATCCCGCCTACGCAAACACATGGACCATTATATACTGGCTCTACCACAGTCCAAAACAAGTCAAGACACACTTATTATCCTACCCACAATAAATGGTGTCCAGTTGCGGTCCTAGATTCTTACCAGCAAAATCCTACCTCACTATCATCACAACATTTATTTGCACTACAAGGCTCTGTACTTACTACCGCTACTTTTATGAGATATATCAGATCCCTGTTAACCATGCTAGGTCTCAACCCTTCTACCTACTCGGGGCACTCCTTCTGTATAGGGGCAGCCTCCACAGCCTCCAGCGCCAAAATACCAGTACATATAAAATCACTGGGGCGATGGAAATCTTGCACTTACATAAGTTACATAGCCAAACCAGTACAGGAAATAAGAAATGCATTTAAGGAAATGTCTGGTTAAATTTTATGTATTTGTTGAATTAATTAAATCTTTGATTATTCACTTTTGCCCTCTTTATTTACATGCTTGCCGTATCGTCGTTCCCGGCACACCACAACTGACTTGCTCTTTTATACTATCCTACGCTTATATTGGAACCTTACTCCATATACGGCTATTAGCCCCTAACACAAGTATTAAAGCCTTTTGGCCTGTAATTGTGGGAGGGGCTTAAGTTTATACACTTACCTATATAAGGTACACCCCTTACCTGGCTCCATATCGTTCGAGGTCAGCATCTGAATGACCCTCCCACCACTCCTCATTTTCAACACTTTTTTCTTCTTTCTTTCTATTTATTTACTTTTCTTACTCCTTGGTGGGCCCTCTTTAATCACAGGCCTACCGTATCGTCGGTCCCGACACACCACAACTGTCTTGCTCTTTTATACTATCCTATGCTTATATTGAAACATTACTCCATACACGGCTATTTGCCCCTAACACAAATAATATATAAATTTGGATTAATTATATTTTCCCAATGTATATATATTTTGTTACTTAATTTATTTTGCTCTATTGGTAACTTCTCACTTGAACTTTGAATACAATTAACATGTAGTGGCTGTGCCCTAAATATCAACCATCATTTTCCTATTAATTATGTCTTTTTCTTGAAGTCACAATTGGAACTACGAATCACGAAACAAATGAGCATGCTCGTCCACTAAAGAGGAGCATCTTATTTCTGCATTTTGAGTCTGAGTCAACTTCCAAGTGACTCAACAGTATGTGAGTGGAATACTTACTTTATTTTTGTGATTTTGAACTCTGGCATACTGCACTATAAGCTGTTGTGATGTCTCTGCTCTTTTCATAGAATTATTGTATGTTCCAGAGTGGGTAATATATTTATATATTTTTTCTTATAACACACACCTGCACTGTTTTTTTATATTAATATGATTGTGTGTTGTGTGGAGTGACTCAACAGCATGTGTGGATTTTACGCTCTTGATTACACCTTTTACCTCTCCACATTTTTTGTATTGATTCAAGTCCATTGTCCAGATCGTTTGTTGTTGTTGTGTTCTGGCACTATGGTGCTTCGCATTGTGGAATTTGGACAACCCACCGATCATCCAAAGTTCAGATGAATCCCAGTTCATTTTAAACCCAATAGACTTGTGCACAAAACCCTTTAATCTTTATTAAAATGCTGTGTTTGTGCATATATTGACAGCCATTGATTTGTTCAATAAAGCTGAAAGTCTAATGTACAAGTTTTTTTAGTTATATTATGCATTGAATGCATCCACTCCATTCTGGAGTTTCCCTTAACAGTAGATAGATGAGTGTCCTTTTCAACTATTAAAAAAGTGCAACTTAGTCTGTCATTCTTTTGTCAACCTCTTTGCATTCCTTTATCAAACTATCAGGTTAAAAAAGAAAAGAGCCAACAGCAGTTTCAAAGCAGATTTTCTTGTTCTATGACATTTGGTTGCTTTAGGTCAACTCTTTAAAGGTTATTATTTTTAAAGCAACAACAAATAAAAGCATAAAGCTAAATCTTATCTCTGTTCCAGTGTTGAGATCCAGTTTTCCTGGCAGCCCAATCCTCCTCTAATGATGTCAGATCTCCCCTGTGAACGATGGGCGGCAGACTTGAGTGGCGTGGAGGGAGGGTCGAGCGGTTATTAGTAGTCTGTGACCAGCATGCTGTGCATACTTATGACAGACGTCCAAAATGCACAGAATTCCCATTAGTCAGCCCGGAACTCACTACAAGATAGCTAATGATGCTACTAGAGCTGTATTTAAACCTCTAGCAGCAAAGAGCTATAAAGTTATTTCATAGTGGAACACTGCGCATTAACATTCCAAGTACTATTACCACTTCAAATCACCAAAGTGGTCATGGTGCTTGAAGTTACCGTTTAAATATTGTATAAAAGGATTTAATTGTCTATTTTACCATTCAATTCCAGGACCTATTTTAATACACTTTTACAATACCTCACATATGAAAAAAAATCTTTAATATTGATCTGAGGAAACTAGTGTGGACATTATTATGTCAGGGAGTTGCTTTGAATCTGCTCACCTGGTTCACGTGCAATTGGATGTGCTTTTTCCACACAAATGACTATAAATCTGAAAGCTGAACTGAATTATTAGTTAACAGAATAAAATTTAACAATGGGACCCCCACACTCCCTCAAACACCTTCAGGTTGCGATGTGAGGGTAGCTGCCCAGCCACAACTTCTTTGGTCCTTTGTGGGGCTCAACTGTAGTCTAAACTTTTCATATTTGAACCAAAAGAACCATTTACTATACCACGGGACCTCGTCAATAGTGTGAATTAAAAATAGAGCAGCAGACAGCAATCCCCTGGTGTAATGTGTTAGGGCTTTAAATAACTGTTCTTGTTTATTTCTATGAATCAACATTTTACCACCTTACATTTGTACTTCTAGAAATATTGCGGTGGGATTGCTGGACAGAATGACAAAGGAGAGGTAAAAACATTTATATTGAATAATTTATAAATCATATATCTCCTAACGATTACTTATCTTTTTTTTTTGCTCAACAGATAAAACTCCAAATCACAAAACGAGCCCATTGCTTGTCCCTTTTATTTGTTTAGTGATTTCTCCACATAGGGCTTCACAGTGGAGGAATTCAAACGAATTGCTACTCACTTGAAACCGAACGCACAAGTCTAATAACGACTGCAGTACGCTATCAAACTGGTTATGAATGGTAAAATAAAAATATGCACCTTTTTCAGCTTTTGTGTTAAAAAATAAAAATAACACGACATAAGGCATGGAAAACAGAGAAATTTGTTTCAAACCTTAATATCATTATTGATCAGGGAAAAATTATTGATTTAAAATAAATTCAAGCTGTCAGTTTTTGCTCTTGGCATTGAATGCCTTAGGGAGTTTATCTAATGTTTTATTGATTTGAAAAGAGCAATGGACACAATTTAAAAGCTTGAATTGCTTAGTGTTTGTTGTCCTATTGTAAGTATGGAGGTGGGTGTGTCTCCTTTTGGAATTTCCCAAGCTGCCTCTCTTTCACCACATAGCTGTCTGTCCCTTTGTATTACTTTTAACACATAGAGTGAGCCTTTCACATGGTCACCAGGATGTTTAACCAGGTTCTAGTGCTCTTTTCAGTTGGATGGACAGTTTCCATGTCTTTACCTGTACAGGTATGTTTATGACTTCTGTCTTTACTTGACTAGCCCAAATTGTTACCATCTTTGTTTGGAAGCCGAATGGCTTTGGTTGGACTAGACATGTCTGTTAACCTGTCCTGATTCCAACTACATTAATACATATTTTTTGCATATGTGTTTTCTTGCAGGTCAATCAGACCCTACCTGTTTGTAAGTACTATATTAATAACCAGAACTAATGTATCTTTTTGTCCGCAAATCCTTTTGTCACGTATGTGGCGTCTCTTGCTGATCTCCAACCCAGTGTAATTCTCAAGATTTTAATGACTTAAGTATTTTTTTTTTTAATTACTTAACTAAAGTCTCATATTAAATGCATTTTAATAAAATTCAACATGATCACGTATGTGTGTGTGTGTATATATATATATATATATATATATATATATATATATATATATATATATATATATATATATATTTTTTTTTTTTTTTTTTAAATAAATTGTAAACTGTGTGGCATAGTTTATATAGCATATCTAAATATCCTGTGCCCATTGTGTTTTAAGAGTTCATGGCAAACTTTCACCAACATAATTTTATTAAATTAAATACATTAACCAGACTGCTTTTCTAGAATACCATCTGATTTGCTACTATATATCACATTATTCTAACTGTAGTTTAATATACAAAATAAAAAGCTCTATTTTGCAAGCAATATGCATATGGGTTATTCTAATAGTAGGTAATTTTTTTTATGCAAGAATATAAAGTTGCAAATGTTCACAAAATAACACTGGCACCAAATATTACTTTTTGTGTGGTAATCAGATTATCTTTACTACACAAATTTTCCTTTAGAAAAAGTATTCTTTACATATAATTTGTTACAATGTTCATGCTTGCACTATTTTATATATGTTTCTCTACTTTCTTCTACAGTGGAGGGGAATGGGTCAAGAACATAGTATTTTTTTGTAGAAGGAAAGCAAAATCCTGAAATTCATCAATAGTGTTTAGCCTATAGACTGACTTCACCCAGGCCTGGGGCTATTTTAATGAATAACACACATATCTGCCCCTCCACCCACCTGACCCACAAGTGCAACCAGATTCCAGGTTAATAGCCTAATCATTGTACTGCAAAATATATACACAGATAGCAAGGCAGACAGCCTCAGACTACCATCATCAACAGCCAGCCCAGGAAGCCACCATCCTGCATCCAAAAGTAGGGGGTGGCTAAAAATATGTAAATGGCAACATGTGTAATCTCTGTGTGTCAGTGTGTGTGGGGTATGTCTGTGTGTCTTTGTATACGTATGTGTGTGTACCCGAGCATGTCAGTATGTGTGTATCTTTGTGTTGCAACAAATGTGTATGCAGTGGTGTATCCTGGTTTTGTGCTGCCCTAGGCAGGACAAAACTCAGGCGCCCCCCTCCCCCCGTGCCACCCCCACCCAACCCTTCCCCCCGCCCCACCTTCTAAATACACACACACACAGTCAGACACATACACAAACACACACACACACACGTCAGACACATACACAAACACACACACACACAGTCAGACACATACACACACAGTCAGACACAAACACACACACACACACGGTCAGACACAAACACACACACACAGTCAGACACACACAGTCAGACACAAACACACAGACACACACAGTCACATACACACACACAGTCAGACACAAACACACACACACACACAGTCAGACACATACACAGACACAAACACACACTCACAAACACACACACAGTCAGACACAAACACACACACAGTCAGACACAAACACACACACACATTAACTTTTTTTTTATTTAAATCCCCCCAACCTCCTTGCACCTTTGGGAGTGCTGGGGGTCTCTCTCCCTGGTGGTCCAGTGGCTGCAGGGCGGCGGCGCTGGCAGGTGGGCGACGGCGAGGGAGCACTTCCCATGAGCTGACTGCTCAGCTCCCTCGCGCGTCGGCTGCAGAGTGAGGCTGGGAACCGGAAGATGACGTCATCTTCCGGTTCCCAGCCTCACTTTGCGGTGCGCGAGGGAGCTGAGCAGTCAGCTCATGGGAAGTGCTCCCTCGCCGGCCGCCCGGGATGTCAGTTAGCCGCGAGGCTAACAAGGCATCTACCCTGGGCATTTGGGGGGCGGCGTTTTTTGCCGCCCCCTGAAAAATGCCGCCCAAGGCAAATGCCTTGTTTGCCTCGCGGCTAATACGTCCCTGTGTGTATGTGTGCTTTCATTTCCAGCATTCAAATTAACACCACATATAACACACACTCCTCCCATCAAAACGCCAACAATAAATACAAACACACACCTGTATTAAAATGCCAACATTGTATACAAACACATCCCTACATCCAGACACCAAAGCTAGACCCTTCATTAAAACACACAGTATGTCACTGCTTTGAAATGGCAGCAGTACATTCAAACACTACACACAAATAGCCCCCTACATTCACACACATACTACATACAAAATAATGCTTGCATTCAAACACACAAAAACTCCTCACAAAAAACCCTGGAAGGATGGTCAAAATGTAGATTTCCAGTTGTGGGAGATGTAAAACAGATGGTGCTGGGTGGGCCCAAAAAGTTTTCTTGCACCTGGGCCCTCTCTAAATTAGTTCCACCACTGATTCTAAAGTATATGGAATAACTGGAAACATCTATAATGTAGATTCCTTATATTTTGAAACAAAAATACAAAATAATTTCATATCAGAAGATAAAACACCATTAAGATTCTCATTCATTGAGGGGCGTGGCCTGACCGCTCAAGGAGATGGACGTGTGAGCGATCAGCTCCGTGCGAGAATCCCACATCACAGCGACTAACAGCAAACTGAATCCAGCACATACCCCCTGAACAACCCACAGGGTGTACGAGAACTTGCCCTGCAACATGGCACAACGCTCAACAAAAAAAACTAAATTAAAGGCGCCTTCTATGCAGATCTCTGCCATGGCTTCACCACCACGTGGCACACAAGATGGCGCAGGTAGGCCGCGATCACCGGCCTCCAGCTCTGACCGGAGCGATATTACCTCGATCTCCACAAAGGACCTCCCAGCTACTGACTCCTCCATACAAAAAATGCTAAACGGCCTGCAAGCCTCCCTACAAGCAGACTTTGCCAAAATAGCGAAAGAAATAAGGGCAGACATCAAAGCCCTGGGGGAACGTACAGACTACCTTGAACACAAAACGGAGGAAATTATCAGCGCGCATAATAACATGGCGGCGGCTTACGATACGGTGGATGCAAGACTAAACTCCATCCTTGCAAAACTAGCCGACCATGAAGACAGGGACAGGCGAAACAACATTCGCATACGAGGCATCCCTGAAGAGATCACCCCAAACAATCTGGGCACCCACGTCAAGACATTCTTTCACCTTCTAGCCCCGGACATCCCAGAAGAAGCCCTACTCCTCGACAGAACGCACCGATTGCCTAAACCGAAACACCTCCCAGCGTCCATCCCAAGGGACACTATAACTAGAGTACATTACTACACCACCAAGGAGGCTATAATGCAGGCATCCAGGAAACAACCGACCCTACCAGACGCCTACAGCAAAGTCCAGCTGTTCACCGACCTCTCGGCAACCACATTAGCAGCAAGGAAAAGCTTCCTGCCAATTACCAAAGCCTTGAGGACGGCAGATATCCCATACAAATGGGGCTTCCCAGCTCGCCTCATTCTCCGACGTAATGGCACCGAGAAACACATTCTCACTCCAGAGGACGGAAAGAAGATCCTTGAGGAATGGAACATACCTCTGGACGTCAGCAACCAAGCCACCCCTGCCGGGCAGAGAGCTGTTGCATCGCCGAAGACGCTCACACACGATTGGCATACAAAGGCCACAGCTAAGTGAAACTATATACATGTCACTATAGGACTAAGTTAACTGACTAGGTACCTACACCTTACTATTACCAAAAAAAAAAAAAAAGGTGGAAACAGGTACATGGACTTCACGGCACTACGTGCCACCGATAGGTCACCCTATCGGAAACGATATGTTCAATATTCTTTGGTCGCAGATTGTTTATATTTTGTTATGTCTGCTTCATGTTACTCAATGTAGTTACAACATAATGTTCCATTAACCCCAGAAGGTATATAGACTCCTTTAGAGGTCACCACAACGCCGCCTCAGTGTAATGTATCTATCTCACCCAACTCACGCTACCTACTGCCCCCTGACCCGTAGCGATGAGTAACCACTCCAGTGGCCCACTCACCTCGACCCATCACGGCCCCACACTCGACACCACACAAACGACATCATTCCACCTGCCGGCGCTTGCCTAAAAGGGAGAGGAAGCACTACACAACCAAACAAACATTAGCGTCAGCTGCCTCTCCAAACTATGCCAACACCATAATATTGTATATGATGTAATACTCACTACCTAACCTGGTACCACTCTTTTTGAGATGTAGTTAACGGAAACCCCACACGCTACTTCAACACCCTACAGGGTTGGGGATATAATATGTGACACACTTTAACATTTTTAAAGCAGGCACTGAGACGGGATAAAGGTGTCGATCCTACCAAGGTTATATTTCCCCCTCTTTTACATGCTTAAGTAACGCATACAACTCTTTGGTGTATATCCCATCGTCCCCATCCCTTACGTAAAGACAACAACTTTCCTTTGCACATTAACTGAGATAGTTTACGATGTGGTGATCGAACGCTAGAACAGGGATAGAAATGGACAGTGAATGCCGTACTTATTGCCTTGTGTACTTTGGCTCTATGGGCTACGACTTGCGCATTCCAAGATGGAATGACTGGGTTCCCTATGAGAATTCATATGCACGGAAACAACTAGATACTATACCAGGGACATCCGGTCTTCACATCCCTACTTACGGCCAGGGAGTATATCTTATCTTCTACCACCCCATACACTACTAACTCACCCTTACCAGACTTCTGGGATTCTCCCCCCCCCACAGGGGCTTCAGTGCCCGACGGAAATGGAGAACCTTAGGTCTCACCTCAGAGGCCTTTTCTTTGTATATAGTTTGATATATGTTATATGTTATACCCCCCATCCCCCTCCACCTCTCGCCAGGATATCTAACCACCACTGGGACATAACTATGCCCATACCACAAATCTACTACCTAATCGAATATACAACGCCGCCTACATGGCTATTATTAAGGGTCGGACGACTCGAGGCACACACTAATATTTGGTTACGCACCACATCCGTGCTGATAACTCAGCAACATATACATAAATTAGAAATCCCCTGTCATGGCACTTAATATACTTTCTATAAATACTAAAGGACTTAACTCGCCCCATAAACGACGCATGGCACTGTTGGAAGCAAAAAAACATAAGGCACATATCGCATTCTTCCAAGAAACCCACTTCCAAACTGCAAGCCACCCCAAATTCTCATCTAGAAACTATCCGGTAGGATACCACAGCACTTATAAGAAAAAAAAAAGAGGGGTCACGATATTGATCAGTAAAGACGTAGCGTTCCAATTTATAAAAAAAATAAGCGACAAAAAAGGACGCTACCTCCTCTTGCAATGCATTATTGACAACGCTCACTATACACTGGTCAATATTTATGGCCCACACACTGACCAGCACACCTTTCTAGATCATATCTTAACTCTAACACAGGCGCACAAATTTGGTGAAATACTAATAGGGGGAGACACTAACTTCCTTATAGACCCAGACTTAGACTCTACTTCAACCACGACAGTCTCACGAACTACATCACAACATAGAACACGAGCTACGACTCTTATCGATAACACTCTCAATACTCATGGCTACACGGACATATGGAGGACCCTTCATCCATTAGAAAGAGACTATACACACCACTCCCTAGTACACGACACATACTCCCGGATTGACCGCTTCTTAGTCCCATCAACACATATATCACGAATTTCCAAAACGGGTATAGGCATGATAACATGGTCAGATCACGCACCTATAACAATTTCGATAAATACAATGCACCCTACCAATGGCAACCGCACATGGCGACTTAATGATACCCTCCTCAATGACCACAAACTGGTCTCACAACTCACAGAAGATTTAAAATCCTACTTTACTATCAATAACACAGAGGAAATAGGAGTAGAGACGCTTTGGCAAGCGCACAAGGCGGTCTTCCGAGGCCAATGCATTAAACACGCCAGCTTTAATAAAAAACAACGCACGAAAGCGTATACAGACATACACACGGAACTTGCCACCCTCACCCACACAAACAAACGTTCACCATCACATAGCATCACGAAACGAATTCTCCACCTACAAGCTAAACTAAAAGACCTGGAACTAGCCAAAACAACTTACTTACTGACTAGAATGAAACATAAATTCTTTGCAGAAGGGAATAGAGCAGGAAAAATTTTAGCTGCCCACCTTCAAACAAAAACTACATCCTCCAAGATAGCTTATATACTCACTAAAGAAGGGCACAAGATTACTAATCCACAAGACGTGGTGGAAGAGTTTGGCAAGTACTATAGTAGCTTGTACAACTTAGTCGGAGAAACTGGAAATCCTACACCTAGTCAAAATGACATAGATGCTTTCCTGAACGACGTACAACTACCATCCATTACCCCGGAAGACTGTCATAAACTGACACAACCATTTACAACACAAGAGATTATAGATACCATCAAACAATTGCCGAAACACAAATCACCCGGGCCAGATGGGTTCACAAACCTATATTACCATACCTTCAAAGACATTCTGGCGCCCCACATGGCCACTTTATTTAACCGCTCGTTTCAAACAGGAACTATGCCCGCAGCTATGCTCCAAGCCCACATAACTACACTCCCCAAACCGGGAAAACCCCCGACCCACTGTCCCAACTTTAGGCCCATATCCCTCCTGAATTGCGACGCTAAAATATATGCCAAGCTGTTGGCTAACAGATTAGCCCCCATTCTGCCACAAATAGTACACAATGATCAATCAGGCTTCATAAAAGGGAGACAGGGCTCCGACAACACTAGGAAAATACTCAACATACTATCCCATGTAGAATCAGAGAATATCGAATGCTTGCTTCTAGCATTAGACGCTGAAAAGGCTTTCGATAGGCTTAATTGGACGTATATGACATCGGTACTAACGAAATTCGGCTTCCCACCAAAGCTTATCCAAGGGATTATGACGTTATATAAAAACCCCACCGCTCAAGTATACCAATCTGGATTCCTTTCCTCTCCATTCGGCCTAACTAATGGAACCAGACAGGGGTGCCCCCTATCCCCTCTCCTTTTCATTCTTGCATTAGAACCCCTAGCCCACAAAATCCGACAAGACCCTCTCATTACAGGTATACACATAGGACAATCCAACTACCGACTATCAATGTTTGCAGATGATATCCTGCTCTCCCTTAGCAAACCAGACGTTTCACTACCCCGCTTAATGGATTTACTACAAGATTATGGCTCTATATCATACTACAAGCTTAATAGTAATAAAACACAGGCCCTACCGATACATATGTCGGAAGCACAGACACGCACATTACGCCAGACCTTCAACTTCGATTGGAGACAAAGACACATTACATATTTAGGAGTGAAATTAGCTTTACACACCTCAAAAATGGTATCCCTTAACTACGGACCCCTGCAGCACACCTGCACCTCACACTTCCAAAAGTGGAAGCACATCCACCTGTCGTGGCTAGGCAGACTCAATACTATTAAAATGGTGTTACTACCCAAAATCCTTTATGTATTTAGAATGTTACCTCTCAATGTCCCAACGCATATACTGAAAACTCTACAAACAACCTTAACTAGATTCGTCTGGAACAAAGCAAAAGCCAGACTACCTCAATCCTTACTCCAACTCCCGCAAACGATGGGAGGTCTCGGCTTTCCAAAACTAGCTACCTACTATGAAGCATCCATCCTCGAATCAGCAATCCGTATCCATGCCCCCAGAAACACATTTCAGTGGGCTGACATGGAGCAGGAAAAATTCTCTCCGCACCTCATGTTAAACATACTATGGTCCCCCAAATTATACAGACCAAAGAAACTCCAATTATACCCCACCACTAGACTGACTATACAAATATGGGACAAACTATTGACCACCTTATCTGAGAAAGGAAAATTCTGTATATATGCCCCGTTGGAGGCACTGGAAGGAGTATCGGACTGGTTGTCACTAAAACCCTGGGCCACGTATGGCGTTAAACATATCAAAGACCTCTGCTCCCAAGCCGACCTCATGGCCTTCCCTACATTACAGACCAACTACAAGATACTCAACTCCTTTATGTTCCAATACATACAACTAAAGAGCATTGTGCACACCAGGGTGACATTGAAACTCCCGACAACTCCACCAAAAGGGACCCACACATTGACTATCATTACAAGATGCCTGTCGGCACCGACAAAACCCAAATCCCTATCCCTATGCTATAATACCCTTCTAAGCTACACACCACCACATGCTTTTAATTATGTAAAACAATGGGGGAAAGAGAATATACCCGAACTTACTGATAGCCAATGGTTCCAGTCATTGAATGCTCTACGAGGCCTCACATCTTGTTTCTCTCATGTGGAGGCACACAAAAAAGTGATATACCGGTGGTACCTCACCCCACAAAGACTACATCAAATATATCCTACAGTAGACTCCAAATGTTGGAGATGCGGCTTAAAAGAGGGGACCATGACCCACATTTGGTGGGAATGTAGAGAGATCAAACCCTTGTGGCCACATGCTCAACAACTGTTAGAAAAAACACTAAGGTACAAAGTTGACCTAACACCGATGGTGGCGATCCTATTGCTTTTCCCACCCACATGGAAAAAAGGAGCCAAAAAACTGGCCTCCACTATCATATTAGCGGCTAGAAACCTCATCGCTCTACATTGGCGGAGCGTTTACTGCCCAACACACAAAGAACTACTGAACAAGATATATCAATTTTATAGATATGAAGTACTTTCCTCAGATTCCCATGCAAAAACACGGCTCACGGAACAGCTGTGGGAACCATGGCTTTCACTGATACACCACCATCCACCATAACCTAACTAGTCCAGTGCGGAAAACTGATTAGACAAGACGAACCATCCCTAAAGAAACAACCCACACACACTATAAGAGACGACACCATATGACCCAAACTAGGGACACGCAATACCTAAATAGGATGATGTATATTTGTTTGTACAACTGTTTAAAATGGCGTAGATGTCTAAAGATGTATAATTGTAAACTGCTTACTGAACGTTTATGCTCTTAATGTGGTATATTCATCCATGTCAATCTCATTATACATGTGTATCAATGCCGACCGAATGTATGCCACAAATGAAGAATAAGATATCTTGACCGAGATGCTTTCCCCCCCCTCCCTTTCTCTTTTCTGTACCCTCAACTTCCCTTTCTGAAAATAAAATTTTCAAATTCAAAAAAAAAGATTCTCATTCATTTTTTATTTTTCTGTGGACATCAATATATACCTAGTATGTGGAAGCAAGAATTACCCTCCCATGCATTTACTGAAACTTCACAAAAATGTTGTTTATACATTACTTCTTTGCTTTCTTCTACTAATGGATTGAAGATTAATTTGCACCCTTAAGGATGGAGGCAATTGTCCAAAACAAAACCTTAAATTTGAGCTACACGTTTGTTCCACTTTCATTTTTAGGGTTTCTCTTCAAAAGCCCCCATACATATTATAAGTCACCTTTTTAAAGATCAGAAAAGGCTTTCATTTAACATCCTATATGTATACCTAACACTCAGTGGCGTACACATGACCCATGGGGCCCCGGTGCGAAAATTGATCCGTGGGCCCCACCCCCGCGCGCGGGCCGGACCGCAACACATGGCGGTGGGCACTTTGTCATCGGGGTTACAGGGCTGCGACCCCTGCGACCGCGGTATGTACGCCAATGCATGCAGATGCACACACACTTAAAAGACCACTACAGACACCCAGATCACATCAGCTCAATGAAGTTGTCTGGGTGTCAGGTCCCTCTAGTTTTAACCCTGCAGCTGAAAACATAGCAGTTTCAGAGAAACTGCTATGTTTCACTGAGAGTTAATCCAGCCTCTAGTGGCTGTCTCACTGACAGCCGCTAGAGGAGCACACTGAATGTCCATAGGAAAGCATTGAGTAATGCTTTCCTATGGGCGGTTTGAATGCGTGCGTGGTTGCATTCGGAGCTGAGAGGCTGACGGAACCCCAGCGCCAAGGGAGTCCGGTGCTGGAGAAAGGTAAGTGCTGAAGACACACACACTCTCACTTACAGACGCATACACACTAGCTAACAGACACACACATTTACTGACAGAGACACACTCAGCGACAGACATACATACACACTCCCTTACAAAACATACACTCTCATTGACAAACACACACTCACTAACAGACATACATACACACTCCCTTACAAAACATACACTCTCATTGACAAACACACACTCACTAACAGACATCAGACTCACACACAGTAACAGACATCAGACTCACACACACACTCAGTAAGACACACACAGTAACACACTCACTAGCAGACACACACTCTAACACTCACACTCACTCTAACACTAACACTCACACACTAACACTCACACTAACACTAGCAGGCAGACACACTAACACTCTAACACTCACACACTAACACTCACACATGTTTTTTTTAAAAAAAAATTAGTCCCCCCAGCCTCCTTACCTTTTGGAGTGCTGGGGGCATTCCCTGGGGTCCAGTGGTGCTGCCTGGCGGGCTGTCTGGCCGGCGCGTGACGGAGCTCTCTGCTCTGAGTGCTTCATCTTCAGCACCCTCGCGCACAGCGTAGGGATGCCGGCGCCGGAAGATGATGTCATCTTCCGGCTCCGGTATCAGTGTGGTGCGCGAGGGAGCTGAAGAGGAAGTAATGAGTGCTCCCTCGCGCGCCGCCTGCCCGACCGGCCACCCGCCTTCTGGGTGTCAGCAGGGCCAGCCTCGGGGGGCCCTGGGGTGGCCGCCTCCTTGGCCCTCCATGAGAAGAGGCTGGCCCTGGTATGTACGCCACTGCTCACACTTATTTGTGAATAAAATTTAATAAAACAAATGTTTTCACCTTTTTGCTTATAAATCATTTTTACAGGTCCAGTGCAACTAATTAAAAAGGAGTCAAAATAGATTGTTAAATGCATAATACACTGATCACCCACAACACTAAAACCACTGACCGGTGAAGTAAATAACATTGATTATATTGTTACAATGTCACCTGTTAATGGCACCTGTTATTAGGCAGCAACAGTCAGGTCTTGAATTTCATGTGTTAGGATCAGGAAAATAGGCAAATATAATGAACTGAGTGACTTTAACAAAGGCCAAATAGTGATGGCTAGATGACTGGGTCAGTGCATCTCCAAAACAGCAAGTCTTGTGGGTTGTTTCTGGTAAGCAGTGGTTAGTATCTACCAAAAGAGGTGCAAGGAAGGACAATAGGTGAACCGGTGTCAGGGTCATAGGCACCAAATGCTGGTCATGACAGTGCATTGCATTTTGTTGAGTTGGGGCTGCTTAGCAGCAAACCAGAATGTCCAGGATAACCCCTGTCCACCATCCAAGGTGCCTTTAATGGGGATGTGAGCATCAGAACTGAAAAAACGAGCAATGAAAGAAGTTGCCTGGTCTGAGGAATCACATTTTCTTTCAGGTCAGATGGGTGGTAGTGTGCATGTGTGTCATTTACTTGGGAAAGAGATGGCAGCAGGATACACAATTGGAAGAAGGCAGGCTGGTAGAAGCATTGTTGTGCTCTGGGCAATGTTATCCTGGGAAACCTTGAGGCCTAGCAATGGTGTTTCCTGATGACAGAGGTCTCTTCCAACCCTGCCACATTGCAAAAACATGTTCAAGAATGGTTTGAGGAACATCACAAAGGGTTCAAGGTGTTGCCTCGGCCTCCAAACCCATGGTGGTTCCACCTCACAACTTGCAGGACTTAAAGGTTCTGCTGCTAATGTTTTTGTGCCAGGGATCACAGGACCAATTTAGACATCAAAGCTTTTCTGGCAGCACCCAGGGGACCTACATGAGATTAGGCAGTTTAATGGTGAAGCTGAACAGTGTATGTTTAGAAAATAAAACATTTTGGATAGTTAATGCTAACCCTATACCTGGGGTAGTACTGTGCCAAAACAAGATTTAAAAGTTCGCTGGTGTGTTTGTCCTATTTTATTTTTTATTTAGGTATGCATGTTGTCCTATAGTGCTTGTGTTATTTATGGGTGCTACAATACATTTCTAACATTGTATTTGTGCATATGTGGACTGTTATATTGTAAATGAGTAGATTGTGGTATTGTGTATATCTGTGAATGGGGGCTGTGTATGGGGGTGCTTTTGGAATTGTGTATCTGGATGATATGCCACATTTTGTGTTATGTAGTGTGTAAAAGTGTGGGGCTACCTGTGATATTGCATGTGAGAAGCTAGTTGTGGGGTTGTTTGCATGTATGTAGATTTTCAGTGACATTGTGTTTATGGGGACTGTGTGTCTGTTTGTTTGTGGGCTGTTTGTATTATTTGTATGAGGGGGAGGCTTCTTCTACAGCTCCGTGCATATCTAGCAGTCTGTGCGGCTCCCCTTGGGTCAAGTGGGGAACAGGCTGGCCAGGTACGGTACAACTACAGGAGCTGAGATAGCTGATGCAGACTGCTCTAACTTTAGTGCGGATTCACGTTCACAAGTACAGGGAGGAAGAGATTTTATATCGCTTCCACTAATTGCTGCTATGAGTAAATTGAGAATTGTCCCTCACCACCTGCAATCACTGCTCAGGTTGCACTAGCAGATTTCTGAAGTCCCCCTGCGACTCCTGATAGGCCAAAGCCTGTTTGGCTCTGGCAGCCTTAACTGCCTAACAAAGGCACTTTGAGGGCCATTGGTTGCTAACCCTTGCCCTATACCAACTCCAATAATAACACTATACAAACCATACAACTTACCCTATGCTTACACTAACTATAACCATATGCCTACCTTAATCTTACTCTTAAACCTCAAACCTACACTATCTTTAACCCTAAAACAGCATTAACCCATACCCAGCATTAAGCCTTTTGTAAACCTAACCCTAACATTAACCATACCCCAAAACATAGTGTCAACCTACCTTACTCTTACCTCTAAATCTATATCTATCTCTACCCAAACCCCAGCACTAACCCCAACCCTATGGTAACCAACTGCTAATATTAATTCTGATATAGGAAATGGTTTTTAATGTATTTAACACAGTATATGGTGGTATGTTGAACCATCTACTGGCTGTTTTCAGAATTACACTTTATTACCAACCTAATAGTGAGAGATCGGTATTGGGAAGCTGGCAAAGCCATGCACCAGTACCAATCAGTTGGGGACAAGTTGAAAGGGTCTCCCCATAGCTGCCTGCACCCCAGAAATCAATTAGCTTCATTTTTAAAATGAGTTAAAGGGCTCTGTGCAGCACAGACTTCCAGCACTGCACAGAGCTCATAGGTGACTCTGAAGCCACTAACAGCTGACTTAGAATAGCCCCATGTACCAATTAATGTGTAAATAAGCGATGTGAGTAGGGATTTAACTCTGCTCACACTGCAATCTTTACATAGGCATTTAAATGCCTGTTTAAAGAGTGGCTTGCTGTGCTGGCTTCATGTGCTCATCAAAAAGTATTGGGTCTCTGAAACTGGCCCAAGCAGACATAGATGAGTCCCAGGTGTACATTGATACCTGGAGCTCCTTAGTGTGAGCAGTGATTTAACCATGAACACAACAAAAATGCAAGGCATTATATGCTGTCCTATGCCCTTCTACATAAATTGGGCTTTAATGCCTCTAGAACACCCCAATGTTGTTAAAGTGAGCCTGTCATGTTACATGCAGTTGTATTTTTAAGATAGGAACATTTACACACATGCTAGAATTTCTGATAAAATATATCTAACATTTAATTTACCAAAAATTTTCTTCACTTAGTCAATTTTTGTGTGTGTAGAGTTCTATCAAACATTAATGTAGATGTTATGGTGCCAGGAGTGGGCTCTTACCTAGTGCCCTTTCCAGGTAAGTTGACAATTTATCTGTGGTCTGCTGGGGACTGGTTTTATCCTCCTCTGGAGCCAGCAAGGAGCTTCTGTTAGCTACACTGCAATGCAGGGCTATTTCATTGGTTGCTAGCAACGGTTGAGTACGTTTAGCAAATGAAAGAAACTCTGCACCACCATTTGCACACAGTTTGACTATAGATTCTGGGAGGGCTTCATGGGACTCCTGGCACCATAACCAGCAGACTGTATGGGGTGTTTAACATAAAATATGCTAAAGAGTAATATTTGTAACAGTATGGAATTTTATAAGAACTATACTTTCAGACTATATCAAATGTATGTTTTTACAGCCACAACGTCCTATGGAGAAACTCTAAACAAAGAAAAGAGGACTGTCAACTCTCCATTCTATGGTGAGGCTTATCCCAACAATGTAGACATAGAATGGTCCATTAAACCCCCTGCATCACATTTTAGGGTAAGATGCATATTATTGTTATTAATATTGTCTTCTATATAGCTTATTTTTTTTATTTTTTTATTCTTTACACTATTATTCAGGGGGCTTTAACTACAAATGATCAGGCAAACAGTACAAAAGTCTCAAACTTGACAAAGGCCTCGTAGCAGGTCGAAACATTGCTGGACTATAAACACCTTATATGCCTGGAGACTTTTTTTCCTGTTTGTCTGATCATTGTGGGATTTGCTATTCCTGCTTCAGTGCACCTGATGTTGACTGGTATTGAGTGTGGCCCCTCTCTTCCTTAACTACAAATGAGGCAAACCATGACAAATTGTGATAGGATCAATATGTTGATGAGGTTAAACTCTGGGGAAGGTGGCATATAAAAACACCATCGCAAGGGCTATACGGGTGATGGCAACCACACGATAGGGTGGGAAAATTAGCAGAATTGGAAGGTAAGATGGAAGTGGAGAATGGGTAAAGAAAAATAAGCCTCTTTCCCAATAATCATTCAGTGACCCTTTTTCTGTTAATATTTTTAGAGACAGTACAAGAACCAATAAAGGACAGCATCATGCACACCAAAGGTTTGAAAAGCTTGGATAATAAGAGCATTGTGAACAGTGTCAAAGGCAGCAGAGAGGTCTAATAGAATTAGTATGTTGTATTGGCTTTGGATTTTGCCATAGTTTGATCATTGGTTACTTAAGTCAGATCAGTACCAGTAGAATGAAGGGGGTAGAAGTCAGATTGAAGAGGATCAAGGAGGCATTTGGAGTTGAGAAAGTGTATCCTATGGTTACAGAAAAGACATTCCAAAAAGCTTTTAAGGAAAAAGTCGAGATATGGGATGCAATTAGACTGGCAAGTGTGATCCTTATCTGCAGTTAGCACGGTCCTTTTGGGTACAAACATGCACAGTCTTTAAAAGTAACTTAAGTCCAGGCAGTTTATTGTTGAGCTTCTCCACAAAGACAGCAGCACATGAAAAACAAAAATGTAACAAAACCCTATCTCGGTCTGAGCACTAACTAACATCAAGTTCCCTCTCTCTCTCTCAAGGGTTTAAACTATAAACAAAACAAGAAGTGGTTTCACCAACCTAGTGTCTTTATCAGCACTCCAGTGTTTTAGACAGCCTGCTGCTTCCAGCCCTTCACGAGAGAAATAAAAACATTATCATCTACTTGCCTAGCAGGGAGGGGTTTATTCCCCACTGCTGCAGATGAGCAGTGGGTTGGAGACTGTCCAAAGCCTGGTCTGGACCTAGTCTCCCAAGAGAAAACAATAAACAGTGGAGTGGAGCATTGGCCTACCCTTCTCTCCAAATGCTCCACCCCAGGGGCCCATAACTAAATATGCATTTAAGTTACATACATACACACATTCCCCCTGGGGTTAAAGATCATATGCCTCTCTAAACAATGCAGATGAAATATAAACTCCCTCACAGACCACCCCATTCACCTTATCACACAAGATAGGTCAAGAGATGACTTTTTTTTTTTAGGAGTATGACAGTGGCAAGTTTAAAGGGCTTTAGCTGCCTCACAGACAACATTCATTTAATCCATTTTGCCTTCCTCACACTGCAGGTTACCAGTGTCAGAGGATCTAAAGCAGCCCCAGAGCCTCACCGAGCCACCACCATGCTTAACTGTAGACAGAGTGTTCTTTTCAGCATATGCTTCATTCTTTTTTTTTTTTTTTTTTTGCGTGCAGCATATAACAATATGGCCTGATTCGCCACAACAACAAATACAGGCGCATTACATATACTCTGTACAATGACATGGCATGCATAATCCAGCACTTTTTTAGAGTTGGTAGAGTAAGATTAGTGTGGCCTTGGTTATGGGCTACGAGTGTGTCTGTTAGCGATATCTCCAGGGGCACAGGGTTGTGCTAGTGAGTGGGGAAGACATGAGCGTTACATGTGAGAAACATGTTAGGGGGTCTCATGGTTTTCTCATTTGAGTAAGTGGCCTGTGTATCAGAGCCCCTAAAAGAATAAAAGAGTATGACCCCTGGGTTGAGGCGTATGTATGATGTCTACTCATCTTGACTAGGGCCAGGGGGGAGGGAGAAGTAGGGCTGGTCCCTGATATGGACCCAGTTGGTCCCCAGTTGCTGAGGGTGCATTATAGTGCACTTTAAGGGAGTATGACCCCAGGTGACCAGCTATTTGTGGTGGAGGAGCGTATAAAGGAGAAGAGCGGTAAACAAAAGGAACAAAAAGAACAATGACAACTTGCGGTAACTTAACGGTCTGTTCACGGTGTAGGCCGTCTGTGGGCCCGACATGAGAGTGACAGTCCAGCCACTAAGGCATTAACGTTCAGGTTTCTTCCCTGGCGTGCGTTTTCCGTTGCACGGAACGGGGGGTGAACTCCGGTACGGTTGAGGGGTTGATGCCCGCCAGGCTTGTTGTGGCTGACTTCTCTGGCCTGTTCAGGCTCAGGCTTAGGAGGTGATGTTCCAGCTCCTGGAAAGTCGTAGCTTTGTATGTCAAGTCCTGGTGAGTAAAGGAAAGAGCTCGTGGGAACCCCCAACGGTAAGGAATGTCTTTGGCCTGTAGTTTCTGCAGTAGTGGCTGTAGGGTCTTGCGCCATGCGATGGTACCTCTGGTGAGGTCTGGGAACAGTGATAGGGTGGATCCCTCGAACAAGAGAGGGGTGTGCCCGCGGGCCGCTGTACGGATCAAAATCTTGTCTTGTAAGGTTTGAAATCTGATTATCAGGTCTGCCGTCGCCTCCCCTGGTGCAGACGCCGGCTTCGGCAGTCGGAACATGCCCTCAATCTTGATCGCTTTGGCTTGTTTCGGCGGCAGTAGGGTATTAAGCAGGCGCCGTATATAGTGCGGTAAGTCGGTCACACTCACTGAGTTTGGGATTCCCCGTACTTTCAAGTTGGTGCGCCGCCTGCGCTCCTCCAGGGCTTCAGTTCTGTCTGCTATGGCTTTTTGTTTCTTTTGGAGCTCCGCCAGTGCGTGTTCTGCTGCGGTGAGCCTTGAGTCATGTGTGTCCGTTTTTGCTTCCAGGAGGGTTATTTTATGTACGGCCCCATCTATGGCGTCTTTGTAATGGGCCATGTCCGCCGCTATGTTCGCTCTTAATTCAGAAAGCATATCCTTAAGTTGGGCGGCTGTGACCGGGTCTCCGGCAGCCGGTGGCTTGGCTTTAGGCACCGCTGGTTGATTGATCCTGGTCTCTACCCCAGGGTTGTAGGAGAGATCTTCAGAGGAGTACGAGGAGCCATCGTCTCCCGACGCCATTTTGTCCCATGTTGGTTTTTGAGGGCCTCGCAACATCTCACCAATATCGTGGCAGAAGGGACCTCTGTCCGCTCTCTGTTTCTTGTTTTTTCAACCCATTGTGCCCTTAGGTAGCAGTGTGACAGCTTGAGGTTGGGTACCGGTATGTTTTATGCAGTTTTACCGCAATAATGTAGATCCGAAGGTCGGAGCTCGGGAAAGTGTGGCCGCTCTGTTTGGCTGCTGGCTCCGCCCCCCTGCTTCATTCTTCTTCCTCCAGACATACCACTGATCAATTGGGCTGAAAAGTTAGTTTTGTTTCATCTCTCCACAGATCAGAATTCAAAAACTTATGTGGCTTCTTTATATGATTTTGAGCATATTGAAGCAGAATTTTCATTTGCTTTTAGGTCAGTAGGGATGTATGTCTTGGAGTTCTGGCATAGAAACCTTCTGTGTTTAGCACGCACTTTTCTGTGTTCATCAAAACCTCAGTGCCTTTTGCAACCAAGTTATACTGCAGTTATTTTTTTGCCTTTGTATCCTGTTCCTTGTTTGTGAAGGGAGATTATCTCTTCTAAAAACTTTGTGGACCATTCTTTTGACTTAGCCACATTTCTAACATGCAGTCAAATGTGATACTCAACAATCCCCTACAACTTGAGGTATTTCAAGTGTTTCAAGTCAAGAACACCAGGTGCAACTAATGAAGCTCTTAAGTAGTTGCATCAGAAATGCTTGAGAAACACCTGTTTTGAATATGTATGCCGTTGTTGGGGATTCTATTCAGGGAGTTGAATAATTTTGAAACTGAAGAAGTCATTCTAAGTTGCGTTTTCAATTTATTTTGGGGGAACTACTTCAAGCATTCATTGTGTAGAGATATTTCAGATTTTTTTTATTATTATTTGTTCATTGCAAACAGTTGAAATCTGTAAATGTTGACAATAAACCTGATTTTCAATGGGGGTTGAATAATTTTGATTACAGCTGTAGTTATACATCACTAACCCAGTAGCATCCTACTAGCTTACATGCAATCGATTCTTCTGTCACTGATACTCACTTGAGATGCAGTAAAAATCATGGATCAATGGTACATTTATGGTGGTTTGGGGAAAATGGTCTGCCTTCTTTGCTAGCAACGTTGGTGACTCATTGGGTGTCCTGGGAATGTTATCTAGTGTTTAATACATATTTTATCTTCTCTCATTCCTTCTATCATTTTTGTAGCAACATGATTGTTAGTAGGTTTTCAGGTTTTTATTATTTGTTATTTTTATACCAGATATTACAATCCAACCTCTTTCTTTGAGTGACCATTGAATAATGTGATAATGGTCATAAAATTAATTTGAAGATGTATTTTTCCTTATTTTGTTATTTGGAATATGTTCTTTTTTGGCTGATTCTTCTATAATGTGCCTCATTTAATACTTTTTATCCTGTTGAAGAATATCACTCTTATGACAGTTATATATATTATATATTTAATTTTGATGTTTGTTCTTCATATCAAGTTAAATGATAGCTGTAGTGCTAATTTAAAATATATTTATAGTTTAACTGGAAAAAATTATCTTCCAGATTTTTCTGGACTTTCTTGATTTTCAGCTGCAAGATTGTCCTAGATGTTCTTGTGATTCCCTGACTATAATTGATGGAAACAAACCTACTTCTCCAATCCTTGGCACATTTTGTGGTTTTGTTTTACCTCCTCCTTTTGCAAGTTTTGGACATGTGATGACATTGAAGTTTCACAGTGACAATCAGACAAGCTACAATGGATTCCTTGCATCATATCACTTTAGTAAGTAAAAAACGTAATATATCGATATCAATCACTGTTTTTTCCATCACAGAAGTGTTCAAAATAATCCTTTAATTCATTCTTTGCAGAGTGTTTATTTCTAGAATACTGTTTTCTACATCTTATATTTTGCTTGTTAGTTTCAGAGCAACTAGAATTTTTTTTATTTTTTATTATTTACTTAATTTTGAAAGGAGGTTTACAAAAGATAAACACATATATTGTAGTAGATAATACAATATATGGATCATACGATTAAACATAATTGTAGGAAGTGAACAAATGTGTAGGCAACAATTACAGGATGTATAATTTCTATCATGGCAGTCTGATAAATCTAATAAAAATATAATTTATATAAGGTAAATAAAGAGCCACATGACTAACATACAGAGCAGACTCTTTAACAAAGTAGAGATTAGAAAAAAAAAGTAAAAAAATAAAACTGAACACAGAACAAACAAATACAGATACAAAATCAAAAACATAGATCTAAGACAAAAAGACAGAGAAATAGAACTCAATGTGTGACAATAGGATAAGAGCAATAAAATTCATGAACAAATTAAAGTAGGCTCACATGCCCAAAAAGCAACCAAAAAAAAAACTGGGAGAAGGAATGAAAGAAGGAAAAGACAAAAAGGGAATAACTCTCCCTCAGCGAGGTTGCAGGCTAATTTTGGACAATACCCAGGTATTGCTTCCATGGAAATCAGATTTTATTATAAGTTACAAAGTTATCTATGAGGTCAGTGGTCATTTCTTCAAGCAGTTGAAGTCAATCATATGGAGAACAACCAAAATATCCAGCACATATTTTTGACCTAAAGTGTAATACATGCGTGATTTGCAGAGTTCCATAACCAGTTTTGACAACTGTTGAGCTATGGTCATACAACGAAGTAGGGCCAGTCTATGAGCAGGGACCAAAGTTAAATCAACAAGCTGACAATGGAGGTCAAACAGCTCTTTCTAAAGTACAATGACTCACCTCCACCACATATAGAAGTACATATCCTTTGAACCACATCCTTGAAAACACATGGTAGAGAGACTTGGATAAATGTGGCTGAAATACCACCTGAATATGCATTTACAACTATTTTCATTCATCAGTCTACAGTTTGAAGATCTTGATCTGGATCTTTACCAAGATCCATTCATCCTACATGCCTTTAGATCCCCAGAGACTTTGTATTTTGAAACATTCTCCAAAAATCAGCATGTTTGTTATTACATCCAACAATATCCAAACAAGGGACAAAGAACCTGAGTGCCCAACATTGAAAGTCGATAGCCTCACTCTTACGGAGCTGATGTAATTTGTTTTTTTTTATTATTGGTCTAGATATTTTTAGTCTAGATATTTATCGGACATGCTTTATGTGTGAGGAGTATCCCATCTTAATTGCATTTTATAACAGTGCCTATATCTATGAGAAATTGGCAGCTTTGTATATCAATTAAGTAGCCTTCTTCCTCCCTCTGTTAGCTCCACTGAGCACACCATCCCTCCTTCCCCCACCCCAGTCATAGTAAACTTGTGATTGCATATACCTATGTGTGCACATCCACAGGACTAATTATACTTTGAATCCCTTTATCCTCAGATTCCTGGGTCCCCCACTCCTGTAGGTTCTACATCATCCTGCTTGTCTTCTTCTGGCTATCCCCAGCTTGCTGTGCACAAACTCAGAAGTGCGTGTATGCTTGTAGATGAGAATCAGACACTGCTTAGTGGGAAGTTTATGATTGGCCAGTTCCCTTGCACAGATTAAAATTCAGTGCTAGGGAAAAAGAGGAGGGCTTACAAAACCTTCAGGAATAAGAACTGCAGTTTTTACAAGCTCTTTTTAAATGGAAACCTAATGTCAACATGCATAACTAAATACACGCATGTTTTCACTAAATAGTAATTTAAAAAAAATAATAATTTTTAAGTATAGAGTGTTTCTTTAAGTCTTCATTAGTGATGTCCCGAACGGTTCGCTGGTGAATAGTTCCTGGCGAACATCGCTTGTTCGCGTTCGCCACAGATGGCGAACATATGCACTGTTCGGTCCGCCCCCTATTCGTCATCATTGAGTAAACTTTGACCCTGTACCTCACAGTCAACAGAAACATTCCAGCCAATCAGCAGCAGACCCTCCCTCCAAGACCCTCCCACCTCCTGGACAGCATCCATTTTACATTCATTGTGAAGCTGCCTTCTTAGTGAGAGGAGGGACAGTGTAGCTGCTGCTGATTTGATAGGGAAATTGATAGCTAGGCTAGTTTATTAGGTGTCCACTACAGTCCTGAAGGACTCATCTGATCTCTCTGACCTCACTACCCCCCACACCACCCCCAGCCTCACTAGCCCCACCACCACCCTCAGCATCACTAGCCCCCACACCATCCTCACTAGCCAACCACCCCCACTAGCCACCCACCCCCCACACCACCCTCAGCATCACTAACCACCCCACACACCACCCTCAGCATCACCACCCCCCACACCACCCTCAGCCTCACTACCCCCCACACACCACCCTCAGCCTCACCACCCCCACACACCACCCTCAGCCTCACTACCCCCACACACCACCTCAGCCTCACCATCCCCCACCCCTCACCATCCCCCCACCACCCTCAGCCTCACCATCCCCCACCACCTCCAGCATCTCCCCACCACCCCCACAGCCTCACCACCCCCCACCACCTCAGCATCACCCCCTCACCACATTACACCCCCCTCCTCCTTCTCACATCATGGAGCTGCAGACCTGTGTCTGCGATGGTGGCCGGGCAGCCAGGAGGGGCCTCGCACCTGGCGGCATACCGGGCAGGCCACCGGGCCCCCTCCTGGTGTCAGGTCCTCGGTCACTGAACGAGGACCTGACACAGTCTGCAATAAGGTGGTTTAGGCGGCCGCGAGGCCCCAGCCAGCGCGAGGTCTTAGGCGGCCGCCTAAACTGCCTAATTAGAGAGCCGCCTCTGTTTGCGGTTGTTTGTGGTGCGTTAAACGGGGAGATTGGTCTGTCACTGTGAAGCGGGCGTAACCCTTACACTACCTGATCGATACAACATCATACCTGATGTTTTAAAGCACGTTATTCCAAACAATTTAGGAATGTTAGGTGATTTATGCCCTTTATGGATTAAAACCAGACTCTGCATCAATTATGTAATTTTCCATGGGAATTTTGCCATGGATCCCCCTCCGGCATGCCACAGTCCAGGCGTTAGTCCCTTTGAAACAACTTTTCTGTCACTATTGTGGCCAGAAAGAGTCCCTGTGGGTTTTAAAATTCGACTGCTATTGAAGTCTATGGCGGTTCGCCCGTTCGCGAACATTTGCGGAAGTTTGCGTTCGCCGAACCGAAAATGTTATGTTCGCGACATCACTAGTCTTCATATAATTATGCGGTTATATTTCTATACTGTACTCCATCTGGAAGGATGGATAAATGGTGTCCTGTTTTCCTTTTTTTTTTCAAAGACGCTATAAAAAAAAAAAATTAGATGAAATTATTATAGTGCCTACAGTGTCCCTATTTTCTATATACCTGTGTACTTTTTATGCCTTGATAGGTAGGAAAACAGTTTGAAAGAAAGACTACAATGTTATGTTTGACAATGGATAATTTAGGTAATTATTGCTGATACAAGACTTACTTTCTTTAAGCATATTAAACATCTATAACATTACTATATGAGCCCAGACAGTTCAAAAGCCCTCCCAAATAATGTTGAGTATTTCTATTTAGTGCCCAGTTCCTTATGCCAATGCTAATCTCTTTCTCTCTCTCTTTCAGTAACTGACTGATCCATAGGATGGAGAGAGAAGGTTTCTGGAGACCAATCTGGACTTTTTTTCCAATGTAAATGATTAAATATAGAATTTATTCACAATCAAGATCTATTCTTGGCAATTGTTATGTATATTACAATGCACCTTTGTAGATATTTTATGAAGAGATTTGACCACTACAGGTTATAATGTATAAAAAAACTTGTTATTAAAGAGGAATTCCAATCATAGTAACCAAAATTGCCTTTGGAAAAATTGTTGGTATAATTGTAGCTTGTTTCTCCTGTTCAGTGTTTGTGTAATTTAAATGTACAAAATGTTAAAAGTGCTTCTGTTTCCGTAAACTGCTATGAACAAGTAAAATTATTATATATAGAGGGGGGCGTGGCTGACCACCGAGCAAGATGGCCGCTTATGGACTTGCTCCGTCTTCGAGCTCTCACAACCCAGCATTAAAAGGCAATACCAACCGAGACAAGTCGAATCCAGCGGAGATGTCCCACCACAGAACGAAGAAGTCAGCCCTAAAAACTGACAAAATCAATTTTTCCGGCCGTAAAAGCCAACCTTCGCAAGCGGCCTCACCGCGGGAAGCCCAAGATGGCGACGGGGACTCGGATACAAGCCTCCCCGCGGCAGAGCATGCTCCGGCCGACAACATCACGAAAACTTTCTTGGCACAAGCCCTGGACTCTTTGTCTAACAAACTAATATCCTCCTGGCAACATACAGCCGAGACCTTGAAAAAAGAAATACAGGAGATGGGAACCCGTACAGCACAAATTGAGGAGAAAATGGGGGACTTTGCTTCCGCTCATAATAACATGGCAGACCACGTCCAGCACCTGGAGGAGAAGGTTGAAAAGCTGGAAGCACAGATGGCGGATGCTGAAGACAGGGCACGGAGGAACAACATTAGACTCCGAGGGGTACCGGAATCAGTTCAACAGGCGGACCTCCAAGCCTATGCACGAGGCCTGCTAAGGGCCTACGCGCCTGATATCCCGGCAGATATGATGTTAATTGACCGCATCCACCGCGTCCCTAAACCGACTTACCTACCAGACTCCACACCGCGAGATGTGCTGTTCCGGGCCCACTTCTTCCACATTAAGGAATTGGTCCTCAAGGCGAGCCGCACGCGGGAGCAACCGCACGAAGACTACCCAGGGGTAAAACTCTTCAATGATTTATCTGCAGCTACGTTAAAGAAAAGAAGAACATATCACCAGGTAGCAGAAGCTCTACGGCAACACGGCACCAAGTACCGCTGGGGCTATCCGACCAAAATGCTGGTCCAACATGGCGGAACACTCAGACCCATTTCCACGCCGGAGGAGGGCATCAAGCTCCTACAAGAATGGAACATACCCATCCCGCCGACTGAGCCATACAAGCACCCGATCAGGAAGACCGCACAAGAGTGGAGCAAAGTTCGCAAGAGACTTATCTAAACTGGGACTGCAAAGCGCAAGTATTAAACACACCAGCATTACACTATATTTATATGTTCACTCACGCATACATCCACGAACATACGAACTGAGCACAACACGGAGCGGTTGACCCAGTCAATGGGCCGCGAAGCACAGCCAGCCCACCCTGTTATATACGAGGACAAACTCAGAGACTAATCCAGAAGGGCTGGTTTCAACTCACTATGTTCCACAACATAACACTTTTATTTTAATTTCTCTTTTTACTGGTTTCACAGCCACAAGTATCCGCACTGGGATGCGTATGTAAAAGGGCGCCCCCGGGCAACTAAGTCTGGTATACATCAGGGACCAGCGAGTGCACCTCTTAATGAGAACGAATGGGCCAATATGCTCATGAATGCATAGGTTACACCCGACAATGATAAACGTGTCGCTTCTCTGAGAGAGGTATAGAGCGAGGGTGGCGGTTCGCTGCCGGAGCTGACCGCGGGGTCCACTCCACCAAATGGCTGACGAAGCAGGCTGGCATGGCCCGCGCGCGCCACAAGGGCTGGGCTGCGCGCGCGGGACATGGGCCGGGCAGAGGCTATAGCACCCTCCTCTAGACAGACAAGAGGGGTGTTGCTGAAGACTGGGCCCCCGGGGGGTTCCGGTGGTGGGACACCAACACAGACTCCAATGCCGGGGTCGAGCACTGCACCCTTATCGTGGGCACGCCAGACACAAATAGGGAACTGTGCACCAGAGTAATTAAAGGGACCCTAACTAGTCACGCCTTTATACTACACCACATTTGCTAAACAGAGCTCAACAGCCACTTATGGGAGATCTAAACAACTCCTGCCCTCGAGGTGTGGACTATCCACACCAAACCCTCCTTGGAGGGAACCTTGCCTCACTCATCCAAGTTTCTTTACCCCGGTTTCGACTCAACCCCTACACCCACACCCAGGAGAGAATGGTACTAGGAAAGCCATACACCCAAACTGCAATCACTCCCCACTCCCCGCAGGACAGGGCATCCGCACATGAACTGCGGAGAACAACGGAGCAGCAATCCAACCTGAACCGATGTCTATAACAATAAGAACCCATAACACCCGAGGGTTAAACCACCCACACAAACGCCGCACTCTCTTAGAAGCGGCAAAACACGACAACATAGACATCTTATGCGTCCAAGAAACGCACTTCGAGACAAACAAAGTCCCTACGTTTGGACTTCAAGATTATCCAACTCAGTTCCACTCCACATACTCCTCTAAATCCAAGGGAGTGTCGCTCCTAATACACAACTCACTAACGTTTGAACTACTGCGACTCAACAAGGATACACAAGGGAGATATATCATACTGCACTGCATGATCAACGACACTGAATACATTCTGGCAGGCATATATAGTCCAAACACAAACCAAAGACAATTTCTGCAAAAAATCTTGAATAAACTCCCGAATCCGCTACCCGGGGCCACGATTATCTGTGGTGACCTAAACCATGTATTGGACTCCCGTATAGACACAACACTCCCTGACCGCTCCCCACGACACACTACGACAGACGCGCAAAGCAAAGCCGTACTCAAGCTGATGGTAGAAAACGATCTATACGATGCATGGCGCACATTACACCCCACTGACAAAGAGTTTACGTATTTCTCACAAGTCCATAAATCATTTTCCAGAATAGATCATATACTGATCTCGGGAACGCTAATACCTAGCACTACCCAGTGTGACATTGGCGACATAGTGTGGTCTGACCACGCGCCGATCACGATTACGCTGAAAGGCACCTTTCCCCACAGGAGCCGGGCGCCCTGGCGCCTAAACAACTCCCTACTGCATGACACGACTTTCCTCGCACAGATGACACAAAACCTAGAACAATACTTTCAGACCAACGACACCCCAGACGTTTCACCCACCTCATTATGGCAGGCACATAAACCAACCATAAGAGGGATACTAATCAGCAGAGCCTCACACATCAAACGAACATCCAACCAAGAATATCTGACCCTGCTACGTACACTCAGGGATGCCACAGCCGCGCACACAGCATGCCCAGATACGACCCAGCTCACGACAATGGAGACCGCAACACGCCGCCTAAACGACATCCTCCTAGCTAAAACGTCATATGCTATGCAACGCCTGAAGGTGAGACAATACTCCCAGGGCAATAGAGCAGGGAGAGCTATGGCAGCACTGCTACGGAAAAAACAAGCCCAATCTAAAATCCCCTATCTAATTTCTAATGAAGGGACAAAAATCTACAACCCCCAAGATATTAACGATGAGCTGGCCAACTTTTATCACAACTTATATAATTTAAAGCAAGACAGCAATACCCACCAACCCCAAGAAACAGAAATTGAGCACTTTCTAGACCTCACACACCTACCATCGCTGACACGGCAACAAATAGAACTGATACAGGCACCCATAACTACCCAAGAAATACTACAAACAATAAAATCCTTACCGTCAGGGAAATCCCCAGGCCCAGATGGCCTAACAAACCACTATTACAAAACATTCGCCGAAACATTGGCCCCCCACCTGACCCCAGTGTACAATCACATCACAACAACAGGCATAATGCCAAAAGAGATGCTCATGGCACACATTGTAACGCTCCCCAAACCAGGGAAACCACCAAACAAGAGCCAAAATTTGCGTCCGATCTCACTCCTCAACACAGACACAAAAATATTAGCTAAAATATTCGCCAACAGACTGGCCCCAATTATACCGACACTGATACACGCAGACCAAGTGGGGTTTGTGGGAGGACGCCAGGGAGCCGACGGGGTGAGAAAAGTACTGGACTTACTCGGTGGGCTGCGGGGGGGAGGCGTGCCAAGCGTATTGGTATCTTTAGACGCGGAAAAGGCTTTTGATCGCCTTCATTGGCCCTTCCTCCACGCGGTCCTACAGAAATTTGGATTTCCCCCACGATTCACTGCACTGATACAGGCACTGTATTCATGCCCCTCAGCTAGGGTAGTGAATGGGGGCTTCTCCTCCAACAGCTGCAACATATCCAACGGTTCCCGCCAAGGTTGTCCCCTATCCCCGATATTGTACATACTCGCCCTGGAACCTCTCACACAGCTAATTAGAAGTGATCCTCAAATACAGGGTATCCGAGTAAAAAACAAAGAATATAAGATCACACTATTTGCGGACGACATCCTCCTCACACTGCAAAATCCACAGGTTTCACTGGCCGCTTTACACAGGTTGATACACCAGTATGGGAACTGCTCATACTACAAACTAAACATATCTAAAACGCAGGCATTGGGAATAAACATCCCACAGATAGAGCTGACAGACCTTAAACAAAGGTTCGCATACGAATGGCGTACGGACCACCTTAAGTTCCTAGGAATAGCCTTAACAAAGTCCCTAGCAGGTATCCACAAAGCAAACTACACACCACTCCTCACAGAGCTCAAAAACCTTATACATAGTTGGAAAGGGAAATTTATCTCATGGGTAGGCAGGATAGCAGCAGCAAAAATGCTACTCCTCCCGAGAATACAATACCTATTCAGAACTATCCACCTGGTGGTACCCAACAGCTATCTACGCGAACTACAGAAACTGATTAACACATTCATATGGAATAATGCCAGACCCAGAATCGCGAAAGCCACCCTACATAAACCATTCTCGCTAGGAGGCATGAGTCTACCAAACATAACAAACTATCACAAAGCAGCCATTCTAAGCCAAGTGCTACATGTTAGCGGCAACGCCAAACCCCCGCAATGGGTGCAG